GCGCGCCGGCTCCGTGCGCGATCGATTCATTTCATCGGTCTGTCCTCGGATCGACAACGGCTCTCGACCAATCAGCGCGCGAGAATTCTACAAGTTATGGTAAAACGTAGGACAGGCTTCGCTTCTCGGCCAAATGTTCATTTTTCGGACCATTTCTCATCCTYGGACATTATCAGCCGATATMCCAGCCGCCAGAAGGGGTTTATTTACTAAATATGTACATAAGATTGAATATATAATGAATGAAACTTCTATATAAGGACATAAGAGCCATGCATATGGACATCCTTATATGGAAGACAGACTRTACTCCTATTTTTCTTTAATGCGGTCCGACCATGGTCCATCATAAATAGACTAGCCAATCAGAAAGCTGGATTTGTAATATATATATTATTAGGTAGTAATGGGCTCCTGATGATAGTTGGTATCACCAAGAACTTGCTGGCCTCGACATATAATAATCGTTAATTCTATTTAATACTTACTAAGAACAGCGAAGCATTTCAGGTAAAATAGGAACTATTAATAGTCCGTCAAATAGTCCGGCCCCCATTAGAGAAACTATTAACAGCCATAGCGCACTGTAGCACGAAAAATAAGTTTCAGTTTTGTTAGGGGTAGAGGGCAGTAACACGATTAATGATCAATATGTGATGTTATGTGATGATACCGTACTTTTTAGGAAGATAAGGCTTTAGAAATGGCGCAGGACCTAASAACATCAAAAATATAGACGTGCCAAGTGATCCAACAACGTTAAACATTCTGCCCCACAACTGAAAAGGAAGTCATTCGAATTTATATTAACTTCGTTGAAATAACCTTTTCATGATTATTTAGTTTAATGTCATCTTTTATCCCATTGTCATCACGTGATTGGCAATGACGTCAGTATTCTCGGTTTTCACATGACATCATCAGTCAAAAAAATTCTTAAATCACAGACACACAACATTGCATTACTAAAATACCTTCAAGAGCATGATAGAAGTTCTCTCTGAATGTTTGAACTTTTTTGATGTTTATTCGTTGAGTTATTGACGTTCAAAAATAAGTAACACAATACTGTCACGCGACTTGAAACATGCCAAAACAAAAACTCGGAAAGCCTATTAATCTTAAAACAATTATAGCCTCAGCATTAAATTAAATATTTAAAATGATATTATTGCAAAATAATTAGTTTTGAGCTCAATTCGACACTCGGAGTTACTGTCCGCCATGTTTGTGTACAGGTTTAATACACCAGTCATGGCGTTTCCATACATTTCTTTCACCGCGTATTCAAACGCTTATATTTTTGCTACAAAATCGCASTTTGACTTCAAACTTTGYATAACTGTTGGAAATTATATGCTGTGTTTGGCCTTGGACATGAMAAATTCATTTGGKTCAAAARGTTTTTTGTAGGTATTTATTKACCARTCGTAAACGCATTGAGCCGTGATAATCCCATACATTCTTACCAATTTTCGATCGCTCGTATTTCTGTCAAAAAGCGTTATTTTGGCTCAAGATTTTGTAATGATCCCTTCCTCTTGAGGAAAATAATAACATTTCGGTAATTTGGCCTCAAAATAGCTTTTTTTGGAATATCACGTGATCATTGCAAACCAAGAATACATGGTAAGTAGATTTTTCAACTCTTTTCATGGGTTATGATTTCTATTGTGTTTTGCCTTATAATGTATGTTATTATATCATCATGCTTGAAATAATTCAATACCTTTCTATTAAGAATATACCCTGCGATTGGAGCCACCAACGTATAAGTACTAGAGGCTGACAGRAAGAGAAGTGCCACGCCCGTTGAGTTAACACCAAACTGATGATGAATACATTGATGCAGGAATCAGTGGAACTAAATAACRACAAACTAAACTGTTCAGCTTGATTAGTGAGATATAGCAGAGGGTCGTATGTCATTTAATCTGTTTAGCTCAGTTCATGAGCTAGAGAGCATTTAATACACCCCTGAAACATGTACAAGAAATTGTACAAAATTGCACTATTACATGCTATTAAACAATAAAAAAAAAAAACAAAGGATTTCAGAATAAATTCGGCAAATTAGTGTAAAATCTTTTAACTTCCATTGTTAAACTAAACCTTGACAGAAGGGTTGACCGGTGCCACTAGACGTGCTGAAAATTGCATGTGCCGGCTTACTATAATCGCTGAAACGAAACGAAACGAAACGGGAATCTGTATTCAACGAAACGAAACGGGAATCTGTATTCAACGAAACGAAACGAAACGGGAATCTGTATTCAACGAAACGAAACGGGAATCTGTATTCAACGAAACGAGTTTAGTTCAGATATACAATAGTTTTTGACAAAGGCAAATTTGTGAACATGAAAAAAARGATATGCGTTGCGTTTTACACTACCTCATGCCCCCGGCCTAGGGCATTTTATTGCCATTTTCATTTTCAAAGAGCCGCGGCCCGTCTCTGATGAAAATGATTATATTTTTTTTCTTTTCACTATTATATAAAAGTACAACAAGAAAACATCGAGAAATATTAATAACTAATTACCGTCATTTCTTATTTATCATTTGCATTTCGGATTGAAGATARTAAGTTGATGGGACAARGCACATTCCCGCCAAAATGTCCCCCACTTTTGTCGAAGCCCTYCCCCCCCTTTGAAAACTGCTGGATGATAACAATGGTAGGTATCAAAAGAGGTTACGAAAATCAACCAACCTTTTCTGCATGTGACTGTAACGTTGGCTCAAGGAAAGATAATGAAATAATACAGATGCAACCAGAGAAACCTTAAATAATAAAATGATACTTTTGATTTTGAGAAAAATTCCACTATAAAAGTATTATACAGTAATGGGAGTTACAATTTTCTAACTCAGATTTTAAGTATATAATATTCTTTATTATCATGGGCTATCAGCTCTTAATCCACTCGCCTTCGAGGTCTAATTGTCAAATATACATTATGGCGTCATTTGACTACCAGAACGTCCTGCGTATTTTCATTCTTATTGAAGCAAATCACTTATTACTAAAGGCATTTCGAATTGTGAATAAAATATTAGAAGTCTATGGGACAAGGGCAAATATTGTTGTAGAACTGATTAATTGTTTCAAAACATCCAAGATTGCTATTTTTTCTCATTATTCTCACTTGATATATAAGCTCATAATTTCTTTTATTGAAGATGATGCAATAGGGATTATAAGACACCAGACTTACACATTATAATGACTCCTGGAATGGAAATCGCACGTTTGAACAACTCTAAACGATCTTGTGGGTCTTCTGAGCCGATGTAATCTTGTATTACCAATAATGCAATTAGAAATGATATCATGGGCCCGTACTCAAGGCTTGTAAGAAGAGAGCTGGTGTGTATAGACAGTGCTGTCCAGGTTGCTTAAAAGTGGCTCAACTAAACAGTTTTTATTTTAGAGTAGTTTTTGACCAATTCTCTTTTTATAATTTTAACTTGTACATCAAAGTGAAGTTTGAATAAAGTTTATTTAATTAACCCCTAGGTTTAAGCTAAACCACCTTTGAGCAGGAACACTGTTAGATACTTGGGAAAAATTGTTAAGTTAAAGAATAACAAGATTAAGTTAACTTAACTTTTAATAGGACAAAATGCAACCTCACAATACTGAAGAACCTAACAAAATTTTAGCCTAAATAGCATTTATTATGGCATTCTGGGATTACTGACCTTGTCTGGGTAAAAGTATCCAAATTAAAGGTAGAAAAACGAGTAAAGTGCCACCAACAACTACCATAGGAAGCCTAAATCCACCGAGCTGAAACATATTATAATATTAGTAGATTAGTGGAAAACAAACAACAACAGCCCTAAATCTCTGGATCTCTGTTTTTTCTCCTCGTAATTTATTTATGGTCCAGACATAGTTAATCATTACTCTCATGTGATCCGGATTTGTTGTTATTGTTTTGGGTTCACATTGAGAAAGTAGCTCGAAACAGGAGGTTTCTTTCTAAGATTGCGTGAAAATATATCCAATATATGTCCAAAGTGTCGTGTAGCCTATATATATTTTATCGATTTTTTTTACCGAGTAAAAGACACCACCCAGAACTGGACCCACGACGAATCCCAAGCCAGAAAAAATCTCCAACAAACCCTGAAAGTAGGATTAGAGAAAGCAACAATTTTCTGAAATACATTTATTGGTACACTCCCACCTGTTCCCCGGATGTATGATTGATATTTTCGCGTCATTGCACAACAAGCTGATTGGTTGGTTGGTTGGTTGGTTGGTTGGTTGGTTGGTTGGTTGGTTGGTTGGTTGGTTGGTTGGTAAATTTATTGATAAATAAATCATGTTTGGTGTTGATTACTTACTATAACAAAGGCAAGAGTTTCAGGAAATTCTTGTGTTAGTATCACAACTATAGATGTCTCACAGGCCGAACCACCGAGTGCTCCAACAGCTCGCACTGCGAAGCACAATAGCGAAAATGTCACGTGATCTTGAATCAGATTGACATACCTAAAGAATAAAGTACACATTAAAATTGGATCAGTGTTTTGGCATTGAACACATTTAACACAGCGTCTAGATGTAGATCGAAGGAACGAAGATTRGATGTTTTGTGTTTRTAAGATAACGTGCTTGTTGCACAATTCTAGCCACTCAGTTGTAGGCAATCAGCCGTGAAATCTATCAAAATTGAGGTAATCGAACGCAATATTGTAGCTTCAGCAACACAACAAGGCGATCATTGGCTGCTTTCTTAAAAGTGTTAAATAAGTTATTTGATGTTCGAGTCAGAGCTTTGGCTTCTTTCAAGCAATTAATGTCAATGTGTTCAAATTACTTTGAGTGTGTCGATCCTCTCTTTATTCGACTCGGACAGGGTCCTAGTCACATTTCTAGGTTATAGATTCATTATATACAATAACAACACTACATCCCTCCCCTTTACAATAATAGAAGGTATAATTTTCACAAAAAGATATGACTAATACAAACTGTTGCAATCTAGATATAGAGCTTTGAAATCGGTAACAGTTACTCATAACAGTCTATTCCAAATTATCCTTATATCGTTTGCAATCAACTAAACCGTAATCAGTCCTCTGTAATCAGTGACACGCATAATCTTTGAGGTMTTCTGGTGGCCTTCTCGAGTTACGCATAGGGTAGCGCCGTTGAGGTGCTTGTCCTGCAGTTCGCGGGTCTTCCTCCATTGCTGTAGGGAATTCTATCTGTTCAGGTTCATCGTCACCAATATATACCTCTTGTTTGACAGYATGAGGCTCAACCTTTTTGTAGAATGACGAATTCCTGGAGATTTCCTTGTCATCCCTCTTGGCTGTGATCATAGAACCCTTGCGTTGGTTCACTGTATATGGTKTAGGATCATAGGGTGCTGATTTCTTGTGAGACGGGTCTCTTCGAACTAGTACAGTATCTCCCTCAGATAAGTCGCTTGGCTTGACATACCGTTTATTGTCCGCATATTTTTGGATCTTTTGCTTGCAGCGTTGTCTTTSTATCGGAGATCTGCGTTTTCGATGTGGTTTGGGATGATTTCAGGTAGTTTAGTGCGTAATGGTCGGCCGAACAGAGCTGTTGCCGGTGGTACGCCTGTTGATGTKTGTGGTGTCGCTCTGTAATTCCTTASCAGGTCGCACAATTCTTCTTTCCATGGGCGGTGATCTACCTTTGCTGCCTCGATGGTTTTCTTGATTGTTCGCATGAATCGTTCCACCTCTCCATTGGCTCTTGTCCATAGCGGGGTGACCCTGAGATGCTTGGGAGGTCTGTTGTCCGAGCGCAATACTTCCGGTATCCCGAATTCAGCAAACGACGACTCGAAATGATACGGTCTGTATCACATCTACTAGGGGGTATCTTGTGTAGTCATCGGTGACGACAAGCAGGTATCCTCCAGTCAACAGCTCCTTAAAGTCAACACTGAGCTCTTGCCAGGGACCTTTGGGTAGTGGTGACATTGATAGTGGTTCACGCGGCCGGATTTCGGGTGTGGCTGCCTGGCAGGTTAGAAATGCCTTCACCGTGTCCTCTACAATTTGGTCGATCCCGGTGAACCAAACCTTTTCTCTGAGTAGTGACTTTGTCTTTACGATCTCCTGATGACCTTGGTGTGTAAGGTTGACAACTTGTCTTTGCAGCGATTTCGGAACTACAATCCTGGTTCCTCTCAGGAGGATACTGAACGATGAGCAAACAGTCAACTCTCCCTTAAAAC